ATGATAGACACGTTGGACAACGTAGAAAGTAAGTTGATCCTAGTATATGAAATAAAAAGTGTCAGGATTCTCTGTAGCTGAGAAAGGAACTATTCACTATGAGCATAAACCAATCTATGGGCTATTACAAATCCAGCATTCTGATTGGCTACTAGCTGAACTATGTTATATACGAAGCAAAAATGGCCGAAAAAAATGCCAAGAAAAATTGTTGTTCATTGTTTTTTTTTTTCGAGTTTGACCTGTAAATTGGTGGATACTAAAACAATAGTCTCCTTCACGGTTACCTGCGGGATCTTGAAAGTTAGCCGTGCCTTTACATCGAAGCGAGACGACCGTTGAGCATGCAATGATAGAAACCTTCTTTCGCACCTACAGACAATTATTCACAGGTATCTATCATTGCACGCTCAACGGTCGTCTCGCTTCGATGCAAAGGCACGGCTACCTTTCAAGATGGCGCAGGTATCCGTGAAGGAGACAATTAGACCACTCGAGTCCCGTGAACTACTAGAGTTGTGGGCCGGGGGACTCCCTAATAAAAAAGGGCGGGGGTCCTCGACGGAAATTCTGAAAATGACCCCTAAAAGTGACCTGTATTGTGAGATGATGGACGTGGCAGCGCTGAAATTTCACCCCTAAGAGGGACCAATCAATAACATGTCATTTTGTTTTGGTTTCCCGATTTGAGGGTCTCAATAGGGTGGTACGCATCACGACTCACGGCTAAAAATTTGGCGATTTCACGACTCACGACTAATTTTTTCGAATCACGGTTAAGTAGATTACTTTCAGAAAGTTTTGAATACGTTTTTCATTACTTTTTCATAATTTGTTTTGTGCTAGAGATAGTGAGTGAGGGAGCACAGTGTCCCCGGGCTTGTACGTTGTACGGGCTTCTACTTTATCACTAAAATTATAGTATTTTAAAATTGATATCTTATCTAATTACTTTAAAATTTCAGAAATATACAATGTCCGTACGTTTTTTTTTTTCAAGCTACCTGTTTCGCGAATTCCAATCTGCAATTGCGAAACTTTGAACACATAAAAGAACACTGTCTTCCCCTTGAACGTCATTAAAACATGTTAAAACGTTCATGGCCTTGATGAATACTTCCACGAATAAATGAACGTGACCTTGACATCTAAAAAGTCATTTTTTATCATTTTTGTGACGAAAGGCATTGTGGGGCCTCTCGTTACTATATCATGATGTTGAGTGACGGAACCGTAACCATCCACTTGTAGCAGGCGTTCCTTGCGAGTCCTTTAAGCTGAAAAGAGAAAATCACTAGAAAAAAGAAAACGAAGTGAAAACAGCAAAGAAAAAGACAAAATGAAAAAGAGCAAAAAAAGAAAGAATAAAAGAAAACTAGAAACAAACGCAAAAGAAACAATACGCAAGCAAAAAAGAGAAATTCCAGCAGCAGGACTCGAACTCAGGACTTTCACTTCAGGAGAAGATGCACACCCCCCCGGAATACATAAGGAATAATACAAATAAAAATCTAAAAAGATGGGACGATTCCCCCGAGACATTCTATGAAGCTGAGGCGGCGAATCGGCTTACGTTACGGTTAGAGATTTCGGCTCTTCCACGCTATCCCGAGTGAACATAAAACTTAGTCTTAACCAAAAGGCCAGGGAGTGAGGGGGTAGCCGCCCACTAGAGCATACCTTTAGCTACCCTCTTAGACCATCGTACTATGAAGACACTTATAGATATCTAATATCTAAT